TTGTTCAAAGAGTTATACACAGCAGGAAGTCTTGCTACATGGATACATTCCAGGGTCTCTAGGTTAGGTAGGCAACCCGTCAGATAAACTGTAACCACATAAGTGCATACGAGTAACGAAAGACAGGACCACAGAATTACAACCTCTTTAAAAGATCAACACCCAGCCACCTGGTGTGGACTTCGATGTAACCTCTTTGCACCAGGTTGCTTTTAGAGGAACCATGCAGCTGGTGTGTTGTACGTTAGGTATTGCAGTGGTGCAGGGGTGCACATACACGAGTACACATCTTGTGTATAACCTCAACACATCACACTGTTTGTGCAAGTGTATATAAGGTTCCAACTAGCTTAAGGATCTTAATAAGGAATACAGGTAACCCCGAGCCTCAACCCTAAACATTGCTGTCTAGCTTCTCCGTTGACTTGAGGAAAGGAGTTCCCTTGAAACGTGATCGGCCGTACTTGTCCTTGTACTGTAGCACAGTCCTGGGGCCCCTTGAGTACTTCTTGACGCTGAGCTTGCCCATGTCAAAGGAATTCACAGCTTCTGAGTTACTGTACAGGGTGTGCCTCTTCGGGGTAGCGGATTTGTAATGCCCCATCCAGAAGGATGACTTCCAGACCTCATTTCATCAGGGTTTTAATTGGTTTGGCGGGTCACGATGTCATGATTACACATGATGATGCTGATGATGAAGCAGCTACGAGCCGGCTGAAACAACTACCTAGAGACATCCACTAAAAAAGTTCAACTCCTAAGATCCTTTATAGATCTGAGGCGTCAGCTGGCATGTGGTGCCGCAGGTCTCTGAAGCGATGATGGTATTCGGCAGCAGAGCCCGTAGGCTGCTCGAGCATCCAAACCAATCCCAGCGCTTGTGCCAAGTAGATAATTAAGCATGACCTTGACAAAGTTTGTGCTGGTCGTTATGTTAAGACAGTAAGAAGAACCGTACTAATTTAACATTATGCAACCTTTGACACGAGTTCCCAGGACTGCCAAACAATACAGAATTGAAGATCTAGTGGCCGAGCCATCATGGTGTTTGCATCTTGGACACTGCTGTAGGCGATATTGCCCATTCCACAAACGATAGATCGTCCACTGGTACCCCTGTTCACACCACAGAAGCTCGAGCATTTCTGCCCCAGCCAAACCAAGCAGCCAGGTCTTGCGTTCAGCATGGTGGCCAATGCCAACCTGGGCAGAGGCAATTAGACGGGTTGATCAGGTTATAGTCTTAAGGTCTATATACATACATATATATATATATATAGACCTATATATATATATATATATATATATATATATATATATAGACCTATATATATACATAGGGTTTACAGGGTTTTACTGCATAGGGCAGGGGGTGCCCATCCACATACAGGGCAGGAAAGCAGCCTCACAACAGCATTCGGATTTGACTTAGCCGCCCTTAGCCACCGCTTTATCTGCTGGGATGATTCTGCTGGAAAACACCTTGATTCCAACAACCTCCCCAAACCCTTAATAATCCCAAACCGTGTCCCTGCTACTAGGAACCCATTGACTTTGACTTGGACCAGCCGTGATGTTTACATCTGATACCGATCAACTTGGGGTCTCGAGGGTGCAAGGGCTGATATGACGATATTGGTTATAAGTTTGCTTCTCTGGTGGGTTTTCATCAACTCGCCACTGTAAAACAGCGCAAGCCAGAATTTCCCCAAATAGTATTAAGCCCGTGTATGTATGCCTATCTACAATATTGGCAACCGAAACCCGGTGCTCCTTTGGCTAGGGCACGCGAGACCACAGTCAGATAAGATGTCCATGCTGTTCTGCTTGCTGAAGCGGACCGCATATTTTATATCCAAGGCTGCTGTTGGGACTCCAGCCATACGTGCCACTCGGGAGCAATTTCCCAGACCAGCATAGAACTCGATGAACCCAGACACCTTCAGACTGAGTGGCATCTGTAGCTACACAGCACATCAACCATGCAAAAGAACGATCGAGACTCCATGAATACCATAAGGTTTCATGTAGGTTGGAACAACAGAAGAATCAAGGTAATCAATTTCTAGCAGATCGAAGCTCTATGTTGAGTTTGCACCGCTGCAATTTGGAAGAGTGAAGCGCAAACAAATGCACCTGGTGGAAGGTTTCCACATTGCTGCTCCACACTAGGAACAGCACCGCCAGCATGAGAACCTGGACCAAAGAAGAGTAAAAGACGCAGGTAGTGGAGGGACGCTCTGCAAAGCCCATCGTGGTCTGGGTTCTGCATCTTTTCTACACAGACTGGTATGCAAGTAGATGGCTAGGCCTTGGGAGCTGAGTGCTTCTGCAGATGCCACAAAACCAACCCTGCCGCGGCGTTTCGTGCCATGGCAGCGAAAACTGATAAAGCTAAGCTAGACGCAACGGCAAGCCTGACACATGATGAACCCATCTAGAGACTTCTAGTGTAAATGAAAGTTTGTCTGCGAACAGTATAACGACTTTTCTCATGTGAAGGGCCCGCGCAGTTTCAGCACTGCTGGAAACAGAAAACTGATGACCACGAGGGTGTAAGAGCATCTTTCCAGTGCTGCAGCATTGCATGAGCACAATCGAAACTTCAGCACAACCTGACACACACACAGAGCCCTCACAGCATGGCACATTCGTGAAGAGAGCGGGGATGAACCTGATCCCCGGGCTTTCTTTTCCTGAACGTGCTTCAGGAACCACACCTTCCGCTTCATCGCCATCGTGGTCTGGCCTGGGCACCACGGACAATTCAGAATCTAGAGGTATAAACTTTCAGCACGGTTTGGATGCATGCAAGCCTGATCACTTTCAACTCAGCTTAAGGATTGACTTGGTGGGCAGTGCATGTCATGTAGCTGTCACAGTCGATGTGCATGAGCAAGCTGCTTGTGCTGACTTTTTCTGCATCCCAGCAAATTGCAAGTCTTCGTACTTTGGCTGAGCGAACAGCACGCACTCTTCACAATCCCAGGACGCTGTGATGTAGCACCCCGGCAAGCCACTGGAGCTTAACCGACGAACCATTTCAGGACCGCCATAACTAAGCCACATGTTGCACAGCCCACCCACTGAGAGCTCTAAGAGGAGTGGTGCAGCCGCTATATACACACAAAGAGGACGGTGACATCCCAAGAAAGCCCTGTGAAACCATGCTCACCAAGGTAATGGGGAACATTGAACTACATGCTAGATTCTGCAATTTGGTGGTAAGGAGTGAGGAGTACATTCGTGCCAAACGTAGCTCACATGCAAAGCCCTATGAGTAGCGTAGATGAACCAACAGTCACAAACAGCATTTGCAGTTGCTTGGGCCGTCGATCGTCCTCAGGCAAAATCACTGCATCTTACGGCAGCTTCGATGGCAATCAGAGGGTCTCGAGACGCCCTCCGGCCAGCAAAAATCGCTTCAAGATCCAAGCATACTTAGCTGCATCATTAAGCTGAGCACGGAAAGTGCAGACTTCCTGGGATCCAATGTCTCTGGACAGCTCTGCCACGTCACCGCCCATGAAGGCAACCTTTGATTTACATAGGGTTAGGGTTTATATAGGGGGTATATCGGATCAACAGGTAAAAAATAATTAAGGGATTATTGCAATTGGTTCCTTTTTCAGGGGCGGGTTTAGCGGGCTTGTGGGTTTCATGTAGGCTATATATCTAGGGTTTCCAGGAAATCTAGATTCGTTTGTTGTGTTGGCTAAACTAAACGTACTGTAGGTGCGGATGGAAATACCTACTTGGAGCTGTTTGGGGCGATCGAATCAGACAGTTTTGCGAACTGCATGTGCTACACTGTGCTGCCATCCTAATACGCTCTCCACACTGTTCTAGAAAAAGGTTTTCGTTGACTCACTGGGAGCAATTTAGTATGAGTGTGCAAGCGCTGTAAGGAAGATTTAGTGAAGCTTATATGTGTTTATGTACATACATATGGTAGACCCAGTTTAATGCCGCGCACACACACACACATATATATATATTATATATAAGCACGAGCAGCACAACATGCAGCAGGGTACGAGTCTTTGTCTGCCAGGCACGAGGCCAGGTCTGCAAGCCTTTCGTACACGATGTTGCCACACATGTAGTGCAAGTGTCTTGTCTCACGTATGTACTGATGTGCACAAACTTACAAGTCCAAGAAGAACTCTATATATATACATATGCATCAAAGCACAGTTCCCTGTGTATGTACTTGTATACATATCTATCTATCTAAACATATGTATGTATATATATATATATGTAAGTCCGTGTATACGTGCACACATGCATATGTGTACATCTACATGTGCTAAATATGTATATATACATATACACACATAAGCATTGCACGGCAATCATGCCACCCGATCTTTAAAACTAAGCCCACATTAGCAGCCCTCAGTTTTCATAATGCATTCCAAGCGAGAGCTGGAACATGGCACTTACAGGTATATGTAGTAATATATCATCAGCAACATAAGAATAAATACAGAACATAGGTGGGTTCGTACATAACAACGGGAAAAAAGCAACTTACATTGTACGTCTACTTGTATGTATGTATATATATATATATACACACACCCACACACTCATAGATAACTGTTTGTTTGATTGCCGTAGAAATGTGTATGTATGTGTGTGTGCATAAGGAAAAATGGCTCTATATTTACTTCTATGCACGTGGAACCCTACTCTTGGGTGTATTTCTGTCTGTCGGAAACGATGAGTAGATAACACCTACACATAAACAAGTACAAGAGTATACTTATATATTGCATAAATATATACACAGATTTGTGCAATATATATGTATATATATGTATATATATGTATATATATATATATATATATTTATTTATTTATTTGTATATGTATATATGCATAAACATCTCTCTCTATATATGTATATATATATATATATGTATGTACGTACACTCATAATGCAAGGGCTGGCCTTACCACAAGCTGAACTTAAAGTGATAAAACAGATAATGCTATAACCAACTTGAACATATAAAAACACACACACACACACACACACACACACCATCTAATGTAGCACGAGGCACGAATGCACACACGGCCTCGATGGCAACCCACATATTCCGGGTCCCTGCAGCACAAAATGTACCGCAGTATACCGCCGGCTTGTCGGGAGCCCTGTAGACAACACCCACGGAGGATCGCGTCCAGTACTTTGACAAGTCCCAATGCGTGAACGATGGCATGCCATTCTGGGAATCAATGGTGGGCGGTGGCCCCTTGGAGTTGATAGCTTCCACCATCTGCATAACGATGTCCAGGAGGTGCTCGTTGCCAGGCTCATGCAGGATGTCCATAACCTCGCGGGGCTCCATGTCTGTGGGCGCCGTTGAGCGCCCCAACAACCGCCGCTTCGTCTTGGGCTCCGCCGTGTCGGCAACGGCGTCAACGGACTCAACCTTCGCCTTTGGAGCTGCTTTGGCCTTCGCGGCCCTCTTCACCCCAGGCTTTGGCCCGGGCTTGGACTTCGCAGCTGATTTGCCAGGCTTGCCACCAACATCTGAAGCCTTGTCGTCATCCGTCGGCTTGGCCTCCTCCATTGGCTTGTCCTCATCCGCTGGCTTGGCCTTGCTCTTAGCTGCAGACTTGGCGTTCCGCTTTGGCTTCGGGTCCGGTCGCAACTGCAACTGCTTTCGGCGTGTGAAGACGTCTCTGTCCTCAGAACCTTCACTTTCATGCTTGCCAGCAGAATCACCCTTAGCCTCGGATGCCTTCTCCGCAGCACTCTCATCCACAGCCTCTGGCTCGGAAGCCGCAGCTGCGGCCTTCTTCTTGGCCTTCATGTCACGAAGCTTCTGAGCATTCTCTGCAAGCTGGTTCTTCAATGCCTTCAAATGTGAGCTCCGGCATGGGCCTGCGACTGGCCTCTCTGCCATTCCCTCGTCCTCAGCCTCCTTCTTCGGAGTGACAAGGTCAACTTCAGGCTCAAGCAACTGAGGCTCCTCAATGAAGAGCTTCCTGTTCACAGGAAGCACGGGGGCCAGAGGCTCGACTTGAGTCTCATCCGTATCCAAGCCATACGGAAGCCGGGATCCTCCAAAGTATGCGCATACGTACTCGTGTATAGTATACACGAGCACACCGACAAAATTAGTATTACACGCGGAAACTACCCAGCTACATTACTGGTCTCCTGTTCCCCGCTGCGAAGTCCCTGAGGATGCAGATGCCAGGGAAGGCGACCGGGACTTCCTAAAGCATATAAAGACGAGACAACATAATTGAAACATCTCGAGTTCAGCAACCGTAGGACTATATTGCAAGGGACCTGGACTCAATCTCTCGGCGAACTTGCTCCATCATGCTTTTGAGCTCCTCAAGTCGCTCCAAGCGCTTCAGCGTGCCCTTCATGTTGTCCGTGTTCTCACGTTCAACCGCAACGGAATCCTTGCCTGCACGGGCATCTCTGGTCTCCGGCATCGCAGCTGCAACCGGAGCATGAGCACCAGGATGCCCATTCTCCACGATCTCAGCTGCACCTGGCTCATCATCGCCATCCTCAGGCGCATGCTCCGGCACATCATCCTCGAACCCATCTTCCTCTTCCTCTCCTTCACCGCCATCATCAGCAGCTGCGTCATCATCCGCATCCGGAGGAGAAGGGTCCTATCAGGGGGTTGGGAGACTGAAGCCACATGTGCAATTATGCTTCGTTTATACCGACTATATATATAGGTTTCATGAGCAATGTGTGTGTACTCCTCTCTTCGAAATCCATCACAAATGGAAAAGACATACACAGAACTATATAGTTGCTCACATCAGGAAGTGTGCAAACTTTGTGTACAACACTACACTTAGGGTGTGCATGTATGTCTCAAATCAGGTGCAAATGCACTTACATGTATACCTGCACATTCAACAAGCATCGATGTGTTTCGTTATGTATGTAGTTATCAGTCTGGCATGAGAAGCAGGTCATGGCTTATGAAGAGCATATCTGAGGGCAGCTCGAATGTTACAGCCCTCGGTGGATCACCGAATAGTGCCTTCAGCCTCCATCTACATAGTTGATTTACATGTATTTAAAGTTCTCTATCACCACTCCCAATGGTTATGATTAAACACACAAACCACATCGTCAGGGGCGGATGTGATGATGCATGTACATATGTGGCAGTTTCAATCTGCCATATCATGAGTTAACTTAGTTGCCAGATTGTAGCTGCAGCAAAATACCTGTATCCATAACATATAAATATATGTATTTCTACTTGTTGACGTGAACTGTAGTGCCACACACAATGTACTGACGTACTTTATATAAGTTCTAAATGCAGATATTGGCAAAGCCACATGGAAATCCACATCAGCCTAAATGTCCCCGGACGGTCTTAACCGAGTCTGTATGCTTATAAGCTGTGTTGGACTCGAAACCCGCGTTCAAGCACATATTCTGACGTAGCTCATGTTTCACTTTGTATGAGTGCATGTACGTATGCGTATGTGTAGGTAGGTAGCTGGCTAGGTATGTGTGCACACAGCATTGGTGTAGCAATTTAATTAATTATCTGTCTGTCAACTTGTCTACGACACGTTATGTAGCAACTCAGCAAACCCATGCAGTGTCCTCACGCATGGATCGCGTTGGCGAAGGCATGTCCGGATCCAAAATCCGCTGAAGCTCGAAGAAGGCGGGATCCTTGCAAAGGATGGGTACCCATATGGTTCGAGCCCACCTAGCATTGGATAACCCAAACAATGTTAATGCTATCCCTAGACGTGGTATATGCTAAGTTGGTATAAACCATTTATTTGGCCATGATTCGGTAGAGGCTTGGCCCTTGCGGACTTTCATCTTGACGAAGGAGCAGAAACTCTTAATCCAACATGCATCCAAGTGGAGGTTGTCTCTCTTGCAGGGAATCTCCAGGGAGCCAAAGAGGGCACGAATCCTGAGATGAGAGAAAGTCGGGATGCTAGGGCAGCTTCAAATTGTGTTTCACATAGCTGTGTATTGGGCATCGAAATACTTTATTTGTACTTGTGCTAGCAAGACTCTCCTTCTTTGCAGGTCCCAGGCTGAACAGCTCCCAATTAGCATTCTCAGCCATGATTCTGAGCAAAGGCCGCAGTACAGCTGCATTGTAACCAGCGTCCTTGTTGCACGTCTTCATGTCCGCACCAGTCTTGTGCGGTTCTACCAATCGGCCCACTTTGTTCAACCTTGTGATTATGGATACATCTTCAGACCACTGCTTCCACACATCAGCAATGTCCAGATTACAGGCCGGCATGAGGCACACGCGATGAAAATCACGATCCTAAATACTTGAAATCTCGAGCCCTACCTGTGTGAACAGCAACTTCAGTTTAACTCTTCAAGCAAGCCAGCTGACCACAGGCAGTGCAGCTCTGAGATCGCGGCCCACTGCGGATGGCAGGGAAAAAAAGCGGATCCATGCAGATCTAATTTAAGGCAACTTGCACGAAGTACGACATCCAGACTAGACAGCACATCAAAGGAACCTGGATTCATTGCTTTCTGATACACGGGGTGGCATTTGTGTGGGGAGCTGTATATATACTCATTCATCCGGAGTCACGGCTGCCTGGCTGGCCCTGTCAAACCACAATCTCTATAGCGCTTGTGTACAAAACAAATGATTCACTGTACCATCGCTTCGCTTCTCTCTGTCGAAGAGAATGACATGGTTGCCTTTGAGCCGGGCAGCCAAGAACCCAGCTCGACTGTCTTCCTCATCAATCATTTAGGGGGTAAGATATCAGTTAGCGGGGAAGATGGCGCATTACCCACTCCCACTGGGGAAGAGGCAGAAGAACCAGGTAAAGTCACTGCTTCCCCACCGATTTGTGGGTTATCGGATCCACAGGTATAGGCTCAAATGCAAGGTTTTTCCAAAACCCTGAGCGTAAATCCTGAATCCTCATAAGGTCTTGCAAACCACTGGTACCGCTGAGCCATAAAAACAGAAAGTTGTAAGGCTTCACAGCGTCTTCCGGGTTTGCACCGCGTAGGATGCCATCAAACTCTGGTATTTTTAGGGTTTACAGGAATCTGCAGTGTAAGGGTCAGGAAGTGATTCGCGCTTCAAACTATGCCTGAGGGAGGTCAAGGGAATCAATGTTCCTTGTTTAGAAGTTACGGCTTAGGGTTTAGGGGTTGCGGTTTAGGTCGGTCCTCGGATGTCTACCGTATCAGCTACTGCTGTGACTGCAGGGCTTGGCATGCGAGCAACCGCAGCCACGGAGGCTTTTCCATTAGGGCTTGAGGGTTTAGGCCACCCATCATGAATATTTAAGTGCTTTTCAATCCCTTGCGACCCTAAACCCTAAACCCTAAACCCAAGCAGTATGAAGTTGAGGCCGTTGGCTGTAGCTGTCCATGCGGTTTTGTTCCCTGAAATCCATCAGGTTCAACCCTGAAGCCTAATTTAGGGGCCTGAATAGACAGAAGATGTCATAGGGTTTAGGGTTTAGGGTTTCGGGTTTAGGGAATAATAAGAAATTGGTTAGGCTTCCCGAGCATAAATGGACATGATAAGGCGCCAACCCCCCCAAGAGAAACCCTGGTGCCCCGTATTTTGGGCCCCCAGCAGTACCCTGCAGTTTTAGCAGCCCTCCAGATCCGAACTACCCAGACCTTCCAAAATCCCTTGATTAAGGAATATCCCTTAAATTATAGTAGGATAATTCATATGATTTAAGGTAGATTCCTTAATGAAGGGATTTTGGAAGGTCTGGGCATAGCTGTGAACCTGAAGTCTGACGAAATTATGATACAATAGTATAATACAATAGGACTATCTCTCGTTAGCGCGTGCTCAGGACGCGCCAGAAGATGTTCTGTGTGTGTGTGTGTGTATGTATATATATATATACACACATACACATAACTCCCGTCATCGTCATCACCGACAAAAACTGGCGTGATCACGGAGGACTTTGCATTAGCACTTTGCAGCCATGCGAAGGCCTCTGTGCAATAAGACTTGCGGCTTCGTCGATCAAAGCACGAGACTCTGCGCCAACAAAAATTTGCCCGAATCCTAAGGCCCAACCCAAAGTCTGTTAGGATGCCCAGTAGTAACCCTTATTCCCTTTTTGTAGTCCTAGGTTCCTTATAAAGTTACCCAATACCAAAAAGAGAGGCAGTTTTCTTCTTAGGTTACTGGGTATCCTAGTCTGACTATCAACTCCCGAAACCCTATTCCCTAAACCCCAAAAGCCAGACTAAATGCACGACCGAAATCTTGCATTGCCCGCATGAAACCGTGCAAGACTCTATGAACCCAAGGAAGCCCGTACTGTCACACCTTTTGTCGAACCCCGAAAATGGTCCGAGGTAAACAAATCTAAAACCATACCTTGACCCACCGAATACCCACTAGTAAAAACCATAAGATCTCTGTGATATACCCTAAACCCTCAACCGTAAACCCCGAAAGCCCTAAACACCTAAACCCGAGCCTAAGCAAGGTAAAAACGAGTTCGTTGGCTCCGCCTTGCTGGAACTGGCACGCCTGGCGCTGGAGTGGGCCCAGGTCTCCCCCAGGGGTTGTGTTGGGAAAGTCCCTTAAAGGGCTCCTTAAAAGGGATCTATAGGGCTCCTTAATGGGATCTATAGGGTTCCTTATAATGGGATCTATAGGGTTCAGGGTTTAGGGTCTACTTGGAGCCCAAAGGGTCCTATGTACCGACATAGTAGAATTCAGGGTTTCTACAATAGGAATTACTAATATGATTTGGAAAGCATCCCCCAATCAAGTATCTAGGACGCTTTGGGTTTCTCTTCCGTGTTAAAGGAAACGGGGGTCGGAAGGGCTTAATGGGTTTGCGTCAGCGGCTGAAGAAGGGTTGCAGGCCTTCCAGATTTAGTTGAGTTTGGTTGTTTAGGGCATTCTTCTTGGTCTTCTTATGATTCCGCGCGTGTGTGTGTGTGTGTGTGTGTGTGTGTGTGTGTGTGTGTGTGTGTGTGTGTGTGTGTGTGTTTTTGTGTTGCCGTTGTTCGGGTTTCATTTCTTTATGGCTGCGTTTCGAGTTCCTTGCCTTAATCCATATTATCCCTTAGGGCTCGTTAGTATAACCATACTGTAAAAGAGCCCAAAACCTTATTCTAATTATTAAGGCCCCCTACATTAGTATACCCTTATAGACCCTTATAGCAAAACCCTGATAGACCCTTTAAAGGAACCCTCTTCTAATATAACAACATTTATTAAGGCCCTACAAGTCCTTTGCCGTCCAGGCCGACTGGGGGGAGGACAGCGTAGGCAACCTCGCCGCACTCGGAGGTTTTGAAGTTTTGGTGTTTGGGGCTTCGGGACTTTAGGGTTTAGGGTTTAGGGTTATGGCTGCGGTACTTGGAGGATCATGGGACTTAGTAAGTATGGCTATGCGTACCTCAAGTGGGGGTATAACTAGTTTTTTGGTATAGTTACTTTAGTTTTAACCCTAGTCACTAAGTCCCATGCCCCTCTAAGTAGGCCCTAAACCCAGATCCCATTAAGGCGCCCTATAGATCCCTTTAAGGATCCCTTTAAGGAGCCCTAGTTACTAAGTACGGTTCGTGAACTTGGGCTTTGTAGGGTTTCCGGCTTTGCGGTTTGTTTTTTTTTGACGTTGGTGCTTATTGGATTAGGCTTTCGGATACATGGCCCTTAGATTGCCTGGGCCTAGACCTAGACATCGGAGTTCTGTGACAAACTATTCAGTCATAGAAGCGGGCTGTAGAGAGATATTGTCATAGGGCTGCTAACTTTGAACTATGCAAACCTGTATATTATCGGGTTCAGGTTGGGCACTGCCCCCACTCTGCAACAGTAAGGTCAAGAAGAAGAAGAAAAATGTGAACAATTTCTCGCATATGACCCTTAATAACACTGTTACCGGGTAGGGGCAATAGTTTAGGGTTTAGGGTTTTGGTTTAGGGTTTAGGGTTTTGGTTTATACCTATAGTCTCCATTGTAGTTCCTTTTTGGGGTTCCCTTTTAGGATCCCTAATATAAAGTTGGTTAAACCAAAAAAAGGAACTACAATGGAGACTATAGGTAGTTTAGGGTTTAGCATCCACAGGGCTCGGGATCCGTCCTCTTGGAACAGACCGGACAATGTGGACCCAGGACCGAGGTCTTACAAATATCGCCCTAGGGTGTAATTTTAGGGGTTAAGGGGTTTAGGGGGTTTAGGGTTTATGGTTTTTAGGGATTAGGGTTTAGGGGTTTTAGGGATTAGGGTTTAGGGTTTAGTTTTTAATTTGGGGTGTAGGGTTGGGGCTTTAGGGTTTAGGGTTGGGTTTTGGGGAAGGAGCTTTTTTGGGTTCACAGGGTAAGGTTTGAAGGGTTGGAGTTTTGGCCATGACACACTGTCGTAAAAGTGCTCCAGATCTACCAAAAGACCGACAACATGTCGCGATGCAACCCTTGTCGATTCAGTTCTGGCCAGTCGATGCAAAGCCATAGGACCCTTAGGGGGGTATATAGGGGGCAGGGGGGTGGGGGACTATACTTCCTTAAGTAGGCCTCATTAAGTCCTTATTATAGGTATTGAAGCCCCCTTCCCCCCCCTACAGTAGAAGCCTAAAAGTTGGAAACACAATAGCCTCAATCCTTAAGAGTAAGGTATAGGGAAACCAAGCACTGTTTGGCCTTAATCCGGTTTCCAACTTTATGGGGTTTACGGTACTCGCAGGATGTATAAGTCTATAAGAGTTCCTTAAAAAGGGATCTAAAAGGGTTCCTTTAAAAGGATCATAAGACTATCACAGGGACCCCACCTATAGTCTAGCAGGTCCGTCCTTTGACAGATTTATCCCACCGCAACGGTTTTGATTTCTGGGCAAACAGCCATGGTGCTGAGCATACACTTCAACCCATGGCAATGGAGCGCTCTCCAAGTATTGGCCAAAAAGCCCACTGCTGAGAGGCGTACTGTTGATGGACAAAATCCTGCATTACCCGTTCTAAGGAATATACCATAATTGCCATCGTTTAGGGTCCTTAAGGTCATGCAGGATTTTGTCCATCAGCAGTATTGCTCTGACTAGGATACCCCGTAACCTAAGAATAAAAAGGGCTCTTTTTTTGGTATTGGGTAACTTTATGAGGAACCTAGGACTACAAAAAGGGAATAAGGGTACTACTGGGCATCCTAGCTGACTGTGCCCTACCGTTTGTGGGCTTTCAGTCGGAAACCTTTCAGTCCTTCACTGACTGAGTACAAGCCCCCAATAGCAGCGCGACAAAGCTTTCAGGATTTTTTATAGCCCTAAACCTTA